CTGAGTCTTCCTGCCAATATGACTAGGTTGCGAAAGCTAGGCCAAACAACTTATATACAACGAAACGTGACCACAACCATACAAAAGGCCACATCATCCTGGTCTCATGCTAGATTTATGTTGCGTCGTCCATTCCTTGGGAATATATAGATATTGGAATTTCCCATCTCATTGATTTGAAGTCATCTTCTGCACTTCACTCTTGCGTAAAAAGTTACATCTACGTCTTAATAGTCTTCTATAGTTCTTTTTCTAGTTTTGGGTTAATAAATGATGCTGAATTGACTTATTTACTCTAAAGGCGACAGTTCGAGTCGCACTACAGGCTAGGTTGAAACTAAACTCTACTCTGGATAAGAATACCTTTTGGGAATCAGGGGTATGTCAAATCCAATCGAAATGTGAGGCCTACTCATATAATTTTGTGAAAGTTCAATTGCCAGTCTTTCGTCACCTTTAACAAGATAGGGTGAATACATTTCTTGTTCATAATCTACGGGATATCTTGTAAACCTACCTAAAATGAAATGAGCGTTATTTTTATGAATAAACTTTTTTCTAATTTTACCAGATTTTTACATCCGATTGATTTACGGAGTGTTTTAACAATAGAAGAACGAGAATCATTATTTTTAAATTAACTTTCTTCTTATTAAGTAAGGAACCATGATGATATAAAAATGTGAAAGCTACAAAAAAATAGAGCATTTATGAAATGAATTTTTTTATTGGCTTGCTCATCTCTTACCCATAATTGCGTTTCATTTCCTCAAAATATGAAGGTTTACCAAATCTTGACCATGACTGCTCATTTACACGGAAAGAGTGCTTATGAAGATATTTAATTATTGCCAGAAAATGTGCTAGGAAAGGTGACTGGCATTTGCAGTTAGAACAATAAAATTTTAGAATTGGTTTGATCTAGCTTTTGCAACTTAGTTTTGATGTTAGAGAGACTTAGGAACTCACTTTGCCTGGAGTCCTTTGTTATTATAGTCGTGATATTTCCCAACGACGGTCTGTGAACTTGGCACATTCCCATAAGTTTCTCAGACATTGTCAGTGAATCCTTTTATTTTTGGCCCTACGCTATTACTCGTCACGGAGAAACACTTGTCTCTGGCGAATTGTAGCTTAGTGCTAACAATTGCAAGGTTCACTGATGATGCTTGCGAAACGTCTTGAAACGTACCAAGTTCCCGGTCCGACTTTTGACATGATTACGAATGTGAAAAAGGGGTCGGGACAATTTATACTAGCCGAATTCATCCTGATAACGCGGCCAAGTTGCGGAAAAAGTTAAATCTATTCTATAAAGCAAAAGGAGACTATAGTCATTTTAGAGCCTACGCGATCTTAGTCTTCCTTTCTGCAATTAAAATATATTTTTAACCTTAATTAGGCCATGTTTTTTGAATGCAATAAAAGCCATTCTTCTCAGACTCTTTTAGTTATGCACTCTTAACATTAATATGATAAAGCTGGTTTAACTGTATCATTTTGTTTTCATGATAAACGGGAAAATCAGCTTCTCTATAATGGCCGAATTTTGTGAAGTGTTATAACAAAGTTAGACCTATTGGTATCCGCTATTCGGCTTAATCTCTTTTTATTAGGATTTATATTTAGGATTTGTATTATTTTTTAAAAAGATGTTTAATTGTGCAAGTTACCATATATTACGAGTTATTATTTCCTCATACACAAGGCTATTCTTACACTTAGATGTGCCTAGCGGCAAGTATTCAGCTAATTACCGCCTTATCTGTCTAGCAACTCTTTTATTTTGCACTATAAGCTGTGGCTCACTTATTGGTTCAATTCTTAGCTATAATTGTCTTTTTCAACTAACCTATTAAACGCGTTTTTTTCTCCAGTTTTTCTATCATTCCTGCTGATGAGGAAAGCGAAATCGGCCTGCTCCGAAATTCCAAGAACGTTCGCTCCACAAAGGCCATTGAAGCTATGCCAAACTCAATCAAAGCCAAAAATAAGAATGCTTCTGACGACCGTCAAAATACACGTATTAATATGCAAGATCATAATGAAGGGCCTGAGGATGAGGACGTGGAAGATCTAGATGATTCACTGGATGGTGACATAGACATTTTCGCAGAAGATGATGAATTTCTTGAGCAGATAGGCAGTATGAAAAATCGACTAGAACCGGTGAGCTTGAAATGCCATTTTAAATAAATAGAGTAGTAGTAAATTCTGAAACCACATTGTGTGCTTTGTCTCAATCTTTTGGTTCCTTGAATTACTATGCTGCCTTAATGCAATGTATTCTGTGACTATGAGCTATTTCAGAGTAGATGTATTTATTCGTATTAAAGTAGGGTTTCGAGACTACCAGTAAATCAGTGTAATGAGATGTATTCACCCTATTT